ATTAGTTCTACACAGTGTTAAAATATAAGAGAGATACTTAATATGTATATCACTACAAGGTGTGCGCCTATGCGCTGATCCGTATGTATCACAGTATAGCACTGTCAAGAAACATCAGAGATGTTTTTTACCAGGCCCCGATTAAACTGAGTAATAGCAAGCCAGAGATCCCTGTCCTTACCTCTTCATTCTCCTCTGCTATTCAATCTATTGCCCTATCATAATTTGGAGTTATTGGAACTACTCATTCTCCTGTGAAGAGGCAACCATTAATGAAGATAAGAATTTAGGGGGCCGAATGTAAGCTCAAATACTAGTAAGAGGTATTAATTTAATTCTGATAGTAAAGTAAGCTAAAAGTATAGTAAGAATATGGTTAGCAAACATCTAAGATGTTTGTTCTAGTATCTACAGTTTAATAGCTGCAATGGTATACATAGTAAGTATAGTACAATGGTTAGTGCCTCTGCCTTCCAAGTAGATGATTCCAGTTCGAGCCTGGATACTTATACGTTACAGAGTTAACATAGAACGATTGGTGCCAGAAACATCTATGATGTTTGCTAAGGTCCTAATACAATACTCTTTTCTCAAGCCCCCAGACCCCGAAGGGGGTAAGGGGGAGAGAACCAGACTAACTTTTTGAACGCATTTGATTATGGTGCTGTCTGATTGCTCTCTAGGAGTTTAACACATGCTAGTCTAAGGTCTTAATCGACCTTGGCGTGCTGGCTAGGAATACTGAGAATGATACCCCTAACTATGGCAGGAATTGTCTATTCAAGGAAGAACTATAGGTTCGGTTGGGGATTTGCTTAGTGCTTAACAGGTAGTTGTAGAGGTAAAAGCTCTCCAAGCCGACGACGAGTAGAATTGGACGACAGTCTAAAATTCAGCAACGGGTATTAGAAACCCGAAGTAACATACGTTACGCAGCAGTGGAGAATCGTTGTCAATGTACACTTGGGTATATTAGATCCATAGTATGAACTCTCAAAGCTCTAAGAGCTTTTGGTATTCGTCTCTGATCTTAATAGGGTCAACCGATAAAGGATATGGGAATAATGATCCCAATCCCAGCAGTGGGTCACAATCGCCGTGCCAGAATGATCGGTAATACGGCTCCCGCAAGCAATAGATACAATGAATAGGTGTAAAGGATACGTAGGCGGTCTGTAAGGACTTGAGTTAGAAGGGGGAAAGCTCTAAGAGCTTTGAGTAGGGCTGATATCCTATTATCCTAAGGGGAATGCTAATGGCGAAGGCAGCTTACCGATAATAACTGACGCTGAGGTATGAAGGGCTGGGTATAGACAGGGATGTGCGACTTGAAAGCTTACTCAAGCATTGTACCGTATCGCGTGTACCCAATACATGTGATGCAATGTACATTTTATTGTGCTTGAAAATAGTCTACTTAGACATGCATCTGGAGTAATCAGGGTGTGTGAAGCTTTAAGGAATAGTGGGACAGAACTTATCGAGTTCAATGACAGAGGTCATTTCCCATGTGGCTGAGATCTATGGTGAACGAAAGTGAATCTGTGTAATAAAACAACCATGTCTGGCAATGTTGCGTCCCTCGACATTGTAAGCATACTGCTGTATTTCAGCGAGGTATGGTTAGTAAAGCAGGAACCTAAGGATCTAAATCATACTTGAGTAGGAACAAGGTAATGCCGATGGTCTGCAGTAACTAGTAAAGCTAGTGCTGCGATGTTGCTTGTGAAGGTAACAATGGGCCAGCGGTAATAGGATAACGTAAAAAGCGAATGCCGGGTTGTAAGGACTCGGATAGACCATATGGTTAATCTGAAAGGATGCTGACTTGCGCATAGGTGCTTAAAGCTCCAAGAGCTCCACAAACAAAGATGGCACAAAGTGCTTTTCTTATCACTAGTAGCTGTACTACTTTGGTTCTCCACGAACTATAATGAACACCAGTTTTAAATCCCTTCAGTGGGTAGGGGTATGTCTAGCTGCAACTTGATCGGTAATGCTTTCAATTTCAACTTCGCACCTGTTAAACCTTTAGCTATAGATCTGTTCCAGTGTATTTTTGCTGCTGCTAATCTTTAACAGTACACTTTTAACTTTCATTATGACAAACTTTAACCAACCAACAACAAGCTGGCTTCAATGGTTCGTGGGATTTTTAGATGCTGAAGGGAACTTCCAAGTTTCCCCTAAGAAAATCCCGAAGGGTCACCAATGTTATAGGCACAGTAACCGGCTACGGTGTACTAGTAGGTTTCCACTTAGGATTACATCTTAAGGAATTACCTCTTCTGCAAGAAATTCAAGCAATGCTAGGAGGTATCGGGAAAATCTACCTGTATCCAGATAAGAATGAGGCTCATTACGCCATCACTGATAAAGAGAGTCTACGGATTCTTATTAACCTTGTGTTATCACAGTACTCACTACTGACTGATCACCAATACCAGCGGTTCACCCGTTTACACAAGGTATTATTAGACAACATTGTACGGTTTGATACTCTTAAGGAGTTCAACCTATTCAGAGCAAGTGTGGTCCCTGTTGTTACCCCTATCGCCAGTATGATTTATTACGTTTCTAACTGGATTGTAGGGTTTATCAATGGGGAAGGATCATTTCCTATTGATGGTGTCTGTAGTTTTACATTAGAACACACAGACCAATCGGTTTTAGTTATGATGCGTGAACACTTAGGGTTTGAAGCAAAGCTGTATGATCGAACTACCCGAAAAACAACTTACATGTTACAAATCTCTAGTAGAGCGGACACAACCAAACTTGTTAACTTCTTAGACGCTAACATTGCGCTTAAAGGGAACAAACTGCTACAATACAACGTGTGGAGAGAAGCTTGGAGCAAAAAAGATGAGGGAACCTTAGAGTAACTGAGGAAGATCCCATGTCGAGTGCTTGAGCAGGAAAAGCTCTAAGAGCTTTCGTACGGTTCTGAGGAGGGGAAAAATAGAGATTTTACCTATTCCAACTAGATACCCTGCCAATCCACGGAGTCAACTATGTATACTAGTAGTGCATCATCGATATGCGCTACGAGGCTAACGCGAAAGTATACCGCACCAATAGTATAGGCGCAAGCCCGAAACTGAAAAGACAAGGCGGCGTCGAGAACCGAGAGTGAACCATGATGTTTAATGCGATAATCCACGCATAACCTTACCTTTCCTTGCATCCCTTAATCGGTGACAGGTGTTGCATGGCTGCCGTCAGTTCGTTATTTGAGTAGTTAGATTAATTCCGGAAACGAACGCAATCACTGATATTAGTTATTCCTAGTATCGTGAGTGCTATAAGCAAACACCTTTGGTGTTGACAAGCCTTCATGACCCTTATGGAAAGGGCTACAGTCGTGGCGCAAGAGTTACTACAATGAGGAGCAATACCGTAAGGTGGAGCAAATCTCTAACCGTATCTCAGTTTGAATTGTGGCCTGCAATTCGGCCACATGAAAAAGGAATTCTCAGTAATCGCGTATGAGCATGGCGCGGTGAATAAAAGACTCGATGTGTACTAATCGCTCGTCACTGACAAGAGACATTCGTAATATGAAGGGGGCTGCATATCCATCTATGGAACAGTGTCAATAGTATTGCTTTGTTCCCTGCCAGAAGTCGCAACACAGAAGCGGTACGGGAACGTGCCGCTGATAGATATACCAATATAAACCCCTTAGGCAGGATTAGTTCAGTGGTAGAATATTCCCTTGTGGTGGGAAATACACAGGTTCAATTCCTGTATCTTGCCCATTATAGTTACCATAAAGTATCTTACAGCAGTGTCTGCAAACATCATAGATGTTTGGAGAAAGGTCCGGGAGTAGATGAAAATCGGTAACAGTACAGAGATGAGCAAACACCTATGGTGTCTGTGCAAATATATCCGAGCTTTAGGCCATCTACCTTTATTGCATTATGGAATGCCTAGTATACCACGATGAACACAATCCTTTACTACATAGTAAGGATACAAAATCTGGCCTATGTTGTTAAGATACGTCCCCTTAGAGAAGGGCTACTAACACTTTACAACATCATAGATGTTTCTTGATGTAGTGCTACTGAATTTCATGTGGTCAGAATGCACCTCTCATACAGGTGCGGAGTGGGTTCGATCCCCGCCAGTGGCTAACTCTAGAACCCGTCGTTATCCGGTCACCGTAAAGGTATAACTGAAAGCGGCCTAGTCATCGCATCTAATAGTTATCTCTATCCCCCCTTAGGCAGGGGAGGGAGCTATTAGTATAAGTCCATACTATCTAGAGAAAAGCTCTAAGAGCTTTTCCTGTCTTTTAACTAACATTTATTCACTATGCTTACAACACTTATCTCTCTTCCCATCCTAGGAGCTCTAACGCTTACTACGATGCCAGACACTACTGCAGCTGATCTATCACGGGTTAAGCGAGTAGCTCTTATTACTACACTAATTACATGATTCCTTTCAGTAATTCTGTGAGGACAATTCGACTCTTCCTACGGAGGTTACCAATTCGTATCAGAACTAACACAACCGGGATTCCTATCACTTCGATTCGGAGTGGACGGACTATCAGTATACTTTGTATTGCTGACAACATTTACACTACCATTCTGTATTCTCGCTAGCTGAGAAAACGTACAACACAGTGTAAAGTCATACATGATTGCCTTTCTAATGTTTGAAGCGTTTACTATTCTAGTATTCGTAGTTCTGGATCTTATTGCTTTCTACGTAGCATTCGAAGCAGTTCTTATCCCTCTATTCCTTATTGTAGGAATCTGAGGAGCTTCAGCCGTACGAGTTCGGGCTAGTTTCCTACTATTCCTATACACTCTATTCGGTTCACTCTTTATGCTACTAGCATTTGTAGCTCTATACTACATCACAGGAACAACTGACATTGAAACACTAGCAGCAGCTGACCTTTCATTTGATACACAAAAGATTCTATGACTAGGAATTTTCCTATCATTTGCAATCAAGACTCCACTCGTACCATTTCACATCTGATTGACCCGAGCCCATGTTGAAGCTCCAGCAGCAGGATCTATGGTTCTAGCTGGTCTAACTCTTAAGCTGGCATCATACGGTATTCTACGAGTACTCATTCCTATCCTCCCTGAAGCTACAGCAGAATTTGCTCCACCTTACGGTGGGTGGGATCTCAATCGTATATGCGTCACTATCTTGTCTACGACAAACAGACTTCAAGTGTCTTATTGCTATGTCATCCGTAGCTCACATGGGAGTAGTGATTCTAGGTCTATTCTCTAAAGCTCTAAGAGCTTCGAAGGAGCGATTCTCCTATCACTTGCTCACGGATTTGTATCACCAGCTATGTTCTTCCTAGTAGGATCAGTAATGTACGATCGATTCCACTCTCGAGTCATCAAGTATTACCGAGGGCTAACTACTCTAATGCCCATGTTTAGTGCGATGTTCTTCCTGTTCACACTAGCTAACATGGGTACACCAGGTGTCTCTCTAAGTTGAGTGGGAGAATACATGAGCCTAGCTGGAGTCTTCCAACTTAACCCATTTATCGCTTGTACTGGAGCACTAAGTATTGTTCTTAGCGCTTGTTACTCTATTTTCCTGTACAATCGGATTTCATTTGGATCATATAGTCCCTACTTGTCATTCACAACCGAAACATCTCTGATGTTTTCTAGGTGCTATTGACAATGCTTATTCCTAGTATCTTCTTTGGGCTATTCCCTAA